GCAGGCTTGGTTGGGGCTATTGGAGATTGTCCTGACTGGGCTATAGCTTCCACTGGTATACATGAGGGCCTAGTATATGAAAAATAAGATTGGGTTGCGCTGCAGCATCCACTGGTTTGTGTAAGAGATGGGGCTAGAGACAGAACCGACTCCGCAACTGCAACCACTAGTGTGTGTGTAGGTCAATGTAGGTGACAGACTAAGCCAGACCCCGTAATGGCTAGCATACACAGGAGTCAGATCTGGGATCATATCAGCCAAAATTTCTGTGGAGGCCTCCCTCAACTGCACCACTGGACTCAGAACTCCAACCATGGGGAGATCTGACCGTGGAATACATGAGTCAGAAATAAGCCTCCTCAGTTGCTGAAGACAGTGCAGTGGGCAGCATGCCCAGATACCCATGGGGGATATGATAGTCCATTGGGCCTGCAGAGGACATCTATTACCATAGCATACGATGGAGGATAGATCAAATTGATCAGCTATCCAAGTCAAGTGTGACAGCAATAACTGGGTGAATGGAGACTCTGAAGTGGATTATGTCAGCAAATGGACCTTGGAAGGATTTCCTTATCCTTAAAGCAATAGAATCAACAGCATTTCAGAACTATCAAAACCACTTGAGCAGGAACATTGGAGACCCTGTGATGACAATGGGGAGCCATCCCCTATCCCCAGATACTGATGTGATTAGGATGCTGGTGGTGGCTTCTCCCCTTATCTCCCCTCTTCCTCCAGAGAGGGGAAGAAGAAAAAGAACATTGGAAACAATGGTCTCATCCACTTTCTCCTGTTCCTTGACTCTTCCCACCCTAATTGGTGTTCCACATGGGCATGCATCTTTCTCAACTATATAAACATCACCAAAAATAAAATTTATAAAATGCAAAAAAATGGTGAAAAGTAAGAAAATGATACACAGCCACAAAGAATATTGATCAACTGATCCATAGATAAGAAAAATGTAGCACACCTACACAAAACAGGACAGCCCTCATCTGTAAAAGAATGATATTTTGACACAAGCTACAGTTTGGAAAGCTTGAAGGCTTGAAGACATTGTCCTAAGTGCATTAAGGCAGGCAGAAAAGGACAAGAACTTCATGGTTTCACTTACAGGAGCTACTTCAAGCAATCGAATTCGGACACAGAAAACAGAAGTGTGGATGTTAGAAGTTGTAGGGCAGAAGTTAGGGAACTTTCTCTACTGAGCACAGATAAAAAGGCTCTGCAGAGAAGTGGTGACAGTTGTACAATGTGAATGACTTGATGGCACTGAGACCTACTCTCAAAACATTTACAATGGTGGATTTTATATTATATGTATCTTACCACAATGCCAAGCATTTTCAAATATCTAGCAACAGGAACATGTTCATTGTGTGAGAAATTGTATATGGAAAATATGGACAATGCTATAAAATTATTATAATCTTATATATAGGGGGAAAAGACTATAAAGATATCCCCAAACCCAGAATGCTGGAAGATGCCATCCTCTGATCAATACAGCCTTTAGGCAAATTACAAATTCAACAGATACAGGTAATCAAGTATATATGTGTACTATCTTAGATAAACATTTAACAGAGGCCAGCACACTGGGAAGTAAAGTTACATTACAGTACACATCTCCACTCCTGAATAAAAGTAGGATTCTCATTGTGAAATATGTTAATATACCCGTACAGCATGATACTAGACTTTCTACCTATACATACCATGCCATGAAACCTTAATTAACGTAAAGTGAATCTTATTCATAAAGTGAATAAAAGAAAAAGAAAAGCAATAAAGCTGATGAGATTTCTAAATTTTAAAAACTCATCTCTAGATGGGATTATGAATAAACTTTGCAGGATTTTTATAACTATAAAGTAAAATTTAAAAGCCAAACGCTTGTATCTCTCTCCTCTTATTTCCTTCTATAAGGCAGAGGTTTTGGGTTTTGTTTTATTGACTACTAGATGTTTAATTCTTTTTAAACATTTATATAGTTGTTTATAGAAAGGTAGAGTAAAAGAAAGAGAGATTTTCTGTCCACTGTTTCACTCCCCAGATAACTGCCACTGCTAGGGTTAGGTCAAGCTAAACTCAGGAGACAAGAACTCCAACCAGGTCTTCTACATGGGAGAGAGGTACTCAAACGGTTGAACCATCTTCTGCTGCCTCCCAGGCATGTTAGCAGGGAGCTGGTTCAGGAAGCAGAGTACCCTGGATTGCAGCCAGCAGTCTAATTTTTTTTAATGTTGTACATTCATTTTCTTTCCTTTTGTCTTATTTTTGATGATGTTTACATAGCTGATTAGAGTGGGAAGGGTCCAGGATCAGAAGATCCTTCTTCCTGCATCCGGGGGAAAGAGAGATAAGGGGAGAAGACACACCTAGCTTCCCAATCACATCAATACCTGAGGATGAGGAATAGTCACACGATATCATCCTAAGGTCCCCAATGTGGAGCATGCTCCATGGGTCAGACCATTGGTCCTGCCATTCTCCCCATGATTGGAATTCCAAGTCCAATGGTTTAGTTGGCAAGATCCTCAAAGAAATCCCGTCTGAGGTGTTCTCAGACCTATCTCTTGTGTGAGTACCTGCCTGCATGGGGTTCAGTTCATTCTATCATCCACATGAGCCTGCATCCACTCTGGTAATTGCAATTGCTAGGTAAGATGTATCTCCTGCCCCATCTTTAACACAAACCAGTGGGTGCTGTGGCCCAGGCCAATCCTGCCCACCATACATGTGGCCCTCACATAACACCATCAGGAACTACAGCCCAGAATGGTCCCCTTACTGGACTGGTATCCAGCCCCAGTTCCTGTGCTATGCAGTGGACTGGTCTGATTTGTCCCACCTCACATTCAGCTCTCACACACACGATTGGGTATTGAAGCCTAACTCATTCCAACCAACTCCACCCTCCAGCACGCACTCATGCCAGCAGGTGCCACTGCCTGTCTAACTAGGCTCACCTCCCCAGCCCTTATTTTCATGCTTACCAGTGGGAATTGAAGACATCCCAAGCTGCAACTTAACTCACTATGCCACAATGCTGAACCCTGGAGCCTTAATTCTTGAATAGTGTCAGGCACTTAAGGGGCATGCCATAAACATGTAAGTAACAGAATGAGTCAATGAAAATATGGGTAAAAGGACAGAAAAATTAATCCTCCTGCTGCTATAACAAAATATAATACAGTAGAAATTTTTAAATAACAGAAACCTGTTAGCTACAGTTTTGGAGGTTGGGAACTCCATATCAGATGCTAGTGCTATAGGCAGCAGCTTTACATGCCATACCACAGTGTTGGTTAATAAATAATTTTTATAATTATTCAAAATGAAATAAAACTCACATGTGGAACTAACAGATGGGAAGTGTTTTAGAAACATCACTGGAACAACAACTGAACAGCCGAGAAGGTGAAAGTGATTTAAATAGAGAAAGAAGAAATATTCTAGTTGTCTGGAAATTCTGAAAGTGTAGTCAGGTGGGCCATGTATTTATTCAACAAATCCCACTAAAGATCTTCCACATGCTGGAGACTGAGATAGGGACCAAGTGTTAAAAAACAAAAAAGCAGGATTATATTTCACTTGTTTGACTCTACAAGGATTGTTGAGAGTTTTGGAAAAACAAAGCCTGATGTATTTTAAGGCAAAGGGTCCAAATCAACATTTCATAAGGTGAACGTTAGGGATCCCAGCAACTGATGAGATCCTCATTTATGTTGTGCTACAAGAATACAACAAAATGAAATGGTGAGATTAAGTAAGTTTATAGCATCTCAAGATCAAGTGAGTTTCTCAAACAACAGCCCAGGTCCTCTGAGAGTATTTACCACTCTTGGATACCAAGACTCTGACAAGGAGCAATGTTTCACAATTTACCTCCTTAAACTCATGCCTCATTCCCAAAGTCTTGGTAATTGTACTCCGTGATTAGATTAACTCATGGGTAGAACCCTTGTGATTAGATATGGGTCACTTTAGAAGGAAAGGGAGAGAGACACAGAGAGAAGCACCTGTTAACACCATATGGGATGCAGCCACAGAAGACTCTTGCCAAGCCCTGTCTGAACTCTGGACCCACAGAATCACTATCCAAAACAAACTTCCTTCTTTACAGGCCAGCCTGAGTCAGGCATTTTGTTACAATAACAAAAAAGTTGGCAGCTCTGTTTTCCAAATTTTTTTAACAAGACACTATTTCTAAGGATAGAATTCCATGGCATGAACATTATCCTCTGATCCTAATGAGATCATTCACCTTCAGAACAGATGGCCTAAGAGCACAGATGCAGGTAGACACTATGGCATACCCAAGACACCCTTAGCACCATATACAGTGGATACCCAAGTCCATTCTGAATCACGCATCAATCCTATCCTCTCAGCTCCTCTCCCACCCTGCTATTCTCCAGTTACAGAGGTCAGCATTCACTCTCTTTCCTTTCCATCATTGCTTGGAACTTGGCTTTAATGAGTCATGTCTTACATTTCTACTTCTGAACTGAGTTTCACATAACAAGGATTCTGCTTTCTCCCCCTAAGCTGCCTGGGGTTAGCTTGGGTAAAGCTCCCCCTGGATGAACTGCTCCCCTTATCTGGGAGGCCCCCAGACAAGGCATGAGCAGGTCCTCAGAGAAATGCAGTAAATGGGGAGAGCTTTTGCCTGGTCTTACTTTCAGCTATGTCCTTGACAGATCTGACTTTCTATAATGTCCTATTTCTAGGCAGCAGTTTAAATACTTTTGGTACCTGGGAAACCAGCTGTTGTTGAATACTTCAGCATCTTACTAATCTTCACACAGGGCGTGGATGCTCTGCCACATATCTGGGAAATTTTTTATATGATAAATAAAGCCACTCATCCAAGGTCCCTGGGTAGTGTTCTACCTGCCAGTCACATGCATAAAACTCACAATGAGTGAAGGCTTGCTGTGAAGACTTTACTACAGTCTTAAAAACCCCTCTCATGCTTTATCTCTTACCTTGTAACTTGAGTTCTCATTCCAAAATCCAGTGACCTCATTGATTGCAGCACTTCAATACAGCCCATGTACTGCAAGAAAAACAGAAGCATGAGTGGGACAATACCAATAAGCTGCCCATTAACTACATAGGGACTTCTGAGGAAACTTCGAGTCACACTTGCACACTTACCTACCATTGACCATTAGTGGACACAAGCTTTGTGTCTCAGTTTACTTTTGAAACATCAGCTAAATCCAAGCTAGAATGTCTTAGATGCAGACAGCCAAACCTAACATGGTTAAAAGCATGGACTCTGGGGTCAGACCAGGTGGGTCTACATTCTAGCTCTGCCACTTTTTTGTGGAACCTCAACAAGTTACTCAACTTCTCTGCATCACAGTTTTATCATTAACAAAAGGGGGATCCCATTGGAATCGAGACGGTTATTTCACAATGTAAGGTTTTTAGAACAATGCCTAGGACAGACAGAAACCCAAGCATCAGAGGAAACAAAGATAAATATGACAAATCATATAGGAACACTGAAGCTTCTAAAGAGATAGCATGCATATAGAAATGCAACTAAAACAAGATCTTAACAAGTTTTGAAAGCTCCAGGAAGTACAAGAAAAGAAAAAAGTCATCTCTTGCCAAAGTGATTTGGACATTTAGGTTGATTAAGGAGCCCTAATAAAGGGATTTTGATTTCTGAATGATTCGTATCTAATATGACCATGGTGGAGAGCCATGCCTAGCTGATGGCAACAGCATGATGTGATTGGATGTGGGTTTAAGCAGTAGAAAGGTGGGATAAGAGTGAGGGAATAAGTTAGGAACCTCTTGTCAGAGGGGAAGTAATGACAGCCCACAGTGAGGAGGGATGGTGGCAAGAGGCATGAGGGGACAGATTCAAGTGGTATCACAGAAATAGATACTACAAGACCCAGTGATTGATCTGATACTGAGAATAAACGAGAAGGATGAGTCAAGGATGACTCAGAAGTATCCAGCCAGGGTGGCAGAGGGAACAGTGATGCCATCAACAGGAAGGGGAAGATGATGAATTAGTTTGGGACACACTGATGACAAGACAGTGGAGGGGGTATCCAAGAAATAACAAGCTGGCAGTCAGACATGGAATTCTGGCTCCTGGAGTCTAGAGCTGCAGATTTGGTCTTCTGTATAGCTTCACCAGGTGTGGTTGTGGGAGTCAGTCCTTTGCATAGCCTTGGTTGAACAAAGCATGCATTTCTCATTCTTGCTTTGTACCTGATATGACAAGTCAAGCAATCTGATTCAAAGTGATCTGTCAGCCCTTTGGGAATGGTATGCTTCCAGTTCAGGTTTCCTTTGGCATCCTAAGTGTTTCCCTGCGTGGAAATGGCAACAGCATTGTGGAAAGATGGCAGGAGCCAAACAGGGGGTGAAGAGGGCACCTCCTCCAGACACGTCAGTATTTCTAAGCAGTTATGTCCATAGGTTTAACATCCTAACAGCAGCTAAGTGCACAAATGTGGCCTTGAGCCTAGTGTTGGGCAGAAAACATTAGCTAGAACATTCTCAGACAGACCCCAGTCAATTACATCTCTCTTAGGGTCTTCAATATAGTTGCAAAAAGATATTCTGAGTGTTTGATCCTATCCCAGTCATACTTAACTTAGACTTGGGTATCACAGGGAAGTAAGTGATGCCCGGAGAACTCTTTTCAATAGAAAGAAAACTTACTGGGAATAGAGAGCTCAATTTAGAGGGTGGAAGGCTCCTCTCAAAACTGTCATGAAGGATTCTGAGGAGCCAGGCTCCACATATAAGCCGACTGAGGAAAATGCTTGCATATCCTCCCTGGAGGTTCTGACTTCCCCTTCCAGGGTCCTCTCCTCACCGCAGAGCATAACCTGCTCCCCTACCACACAGGCCTCTAGCCTAGGACACAATAGACTCCCCATACACAGGCTGGGGAGCAGGTTTGGGCTACACATTGCTTTCTCAAGACTCCCTGTTGGTATAAAACTCAATGTCATCTTTCTCTAAGGCTGCAAATCACTTACTTAAGACAAGGTAATGCCTTCTCACTGTGTACTTTCAAAAAAAAAAAAGATATTTTACACACACACACACACACACATATATATATATATAATTTATTCTAAAGGCAAAGTTACAGAGAGAAGAGGAGAGACAGAGAGATGTTTGATCCACTGGCTCACTGCCCAAATGGCTACAATAGCCAGGGCTGGGCCAGATAGAAGCCAGGAGCCTGGAGCTTCCTCTGGTTTCCCTCTTGTATTCAGGAATTCAAGTATGTGGACTATCATCTGCATGGAGCTGAGTCTCAGGGAGCTGAGTCTGGAACTGGCACGCATATGGTTTACCAGCATTGCAGGCCATGGCTTACTAACTCACTACACCACAGCATTAGTTCCCAGCTATATAGTTTTTGAAAAGGTGACCAAGCACCTACATTTTTCACACCCTGCCACAAAGTCTTTTCAAAAATACATATCAGATCATGTCACTCCTCTAGTATCCAATATGAAAACAAATGCACTGGGCTGGCATAGTGGTGCAGTGGGTAAAGTTGCCACATGCAACACTGGCATCTCATGCTTGAGTCCTGGTTGTTCCTCTTTCAACTCAGCTTCCTGCTAATGCACCTGGGAAGGCAGAAGATGAACCAGTTCTTGGACCTCTGCCACTCACACGGGAGATCTGGGTGGAGTTCTTGGTTCCTGGTTTCAATCTGGCACAGCCCTTGCGGTGGTGGCTATCTGGGAAGTGAACCAACAGAGAGAGGATACCTGTTTTCTCTTGCATGCTCCCTCTCTCTGTCTTTCAAACAGATACACAAATCTCCTAAGAGAAAGGTGGAAATCTCTTCTCAATATAATCTATCACATAGCCTACTGAAAAGAACAATAAATGCATTGCCATAAACTCACTTTAAACTGCCCTTTTTGCCCTCTGTTTATTCCTTCTGCCCTATCTGTGTCTCTCACCCCAGACTCTGTGGTTAGATCAGACTCCTTTCAACACCTCAAATGTGCCCCATTCTTTCCCAACACAGGGCTTGGGTCCTTCCTCTTCCCTCTGCCCAGCTCTTCCAACATTGCTCTGCAGGACTGACTCCTTGCCACACTTCAGGCTTCAATTAAAATGACACTCCCGTTCCCCCTCCTACCACCTCATCACAGCCCCAACAAGTCACCTTCCCATCTTCAGAGTGATTCGTTGATATGTCCATTTGTCCATTGGTTATCTGTCTGCATTCCCTGGCTGTCAGCCCCTGCCCCTAGGAGGGACCATGACCACCACTACATCCCCAGCCCCTGGGACAGTGCCTAGAATCTGGCAGGTGTTCAGTAAATATTGGTTGGAAGAGTGAAAGCAGCCTCGAGGCTTCAACACTACTGAACCTTTAAGATGAAAATCAAAGTGGGAGAGAGTGAGGGAGGTGATGATGTGTGGGTAGCCTCCAGGGAAGACTTAGGCCACATAGGGCAGGGACTCCAGGCAGGGCTGCGAGCTTCTTGGTTCTTTACTCCACATTGTGACTTTGATTATCCCTCACTGGCAACTGGCAGCAAGCAAGCAAAACAGAGTGGGGATTGTAGCAAGTAGGCAAGTAGAAGAACAGAGCTGACTTCTGATACAGTCTGTAGGCTGGGAGCAGAGAGCCCTGAGTGTTTGGCATAGTAGGTTCGGATAGTAGGCTGCATGACTAACTTGAGGAGATAACAAAGGGAGCCAGATAGCATGGAGACACTCCAAGGCTGAGGAAGTGCAAATCCTACCTGAAGGATAATGTCAGAGTAGTAGCAATTGACCCAATAAACCGACCCAGTGATAACGGCCTTATCTACAGCCTCCTGAAGCAGTTTCCTGCCCACTGCCCCAACCCTCTTGGAGCTCCAGGATTGCCTTCCCCTCTTATCAATGAGTTGTGCCTCACACACCTGTCTATGTCAGCACCAGCAAAGATGACACCTGCTGCCAGCCTCGATATGATATGATGGAAGGTTCTGAAAAAATTAAAGTCATAGCCTGAAGGGACTGACAATGAGGGCAATTCCCCTTGAGCACAGGCACATATTAGAAAAGCCACAATCAATCTCTGTCCCAATTATCTCAAAGTCAGAATGTAGGTGGTCTTCCCATTGGTAGGCACTGGGAATCATTGCTGTAAGGAAGTAGGGAGTGGTGGTGCCTAAAAATCACCTGCCTGCTTCTTCGGCTTAGGTGGCTGAGGTGGCAGGCAGCAGCCGAACAGCAAGGCTAGAGGGAGGCATTTTGTGTATTGAATATAAACTGGAGATGACAATGCCTTTGCCTTCATGCATTAAATGAAGATTGGCACAAGACGACGTCTCCATTCTTAAGCAACCTAGCCCCAGAAAGACCCGGCAACCACAGAAAATAATGACTTTTCTTTTTACGAGCTTGGTCATTGTTGTTAACTCCATTTAATAGAAGAGGAAATTAAAGCCTATTCAAGGGAAGTGCCTGGCTCCATTTCACGTATTCACTGAGACAGAATCACCATGGATTCCAGAGTCTGCAGTCATCACTGGGGCTCTGGGTAACAGAAGAAGCAGGAGAAGGGCTTATCTAGCTGGCTCCCTCCCTGGGGTCTGCCCAGTTACTAACAGTGCAGTGACTAGGGGGACACAGGGTAAACTCAGATGCGACTTCGAAAGGCTCTGGGGACCTGTAGGAGTGGCATATGAGACAGAAGGCACTCCCGAATCCCCAACCTCGTGATGAGGACACTGGATCCCTTTGCCCAGGGCATCCAGGGTTGGTTAATAAAATGGTGGCATAGGCAACCTTCCCATTTAGCCCCTGTCACACCTCACCTGAGCACAGTGCCCTTCCTCCCTTCATACCCTCAGGCCAGTATAAACACAGGAATATTCTACTTGCATCTCAAATTTAACACATCCAATTGATTCATCTACTCCATTTCTAATCTCAACAATAGCTAATTAATCTACCTCATTATATAAGCCAGAAAATTTAACTCTCCCCTTCCTTTAAAATCCCCCCTCCAAAGAGTGGGTGAGCCCTCTCCTTTTGATCTCTGTGTCTCGC